TGAGTAAGGGTAATCTACGATTGAGTCAACATGAGAAAATGTCTAAAGATAGTGAAGGCCAATTGACTTGAATAGTGTGCCACTCATCTATCCTAAACTTTGGTCATGTAGAAAACAAAATATGTAGTAAAAGTGATCACACAATCAAGAGAATGGGTGAGATGATTAAGGGATAATAAGTTAAAGGGAGAACTAGGGACATAAAAAATATTGTAAATAAAAGGAGAAGGAAGAAGATGAACAATACTAACATCATAAGAAGGGGGCAAGAACCATTAGTCATGGTGACAAATGGTAAAATAGTAGAGGTAGAAAGGAAGGAGAAAAGACATTTATGACTAGAAATATGGTTAGTGGCACAAAAGTGGAGAACCCAAGGGTCAAGAGTAGTGGAGTGAGATAGACCAACAAACGAGGGACCTATGTGTGCAATGAAAATAATCACTTGTATAAAACCGCATTTTTACATCATATTATCTACATCGGTTATATGAGAACTAACTTAAATGTAAATGTAGTGACATTTTTGTAATAATTGACAAATTTTCTACATCGGTGGTTAATACAACCGATGTAGTATCTCACATTCTACATCGGTTCTAAAAGGAACTAATGTTATATGTGGAGATACTACATTGATTATTAATACAATCGATGTAGAAAGTTTTTTATATACTATCACTTCGCGTCTTCTCATTTTCTCATTATTGCCCCAAAAAATCTTCTCTTTATTGTTCTATCGTTATCGTTGCACTCTCTCAAACCTTAACATCTGTGAAGATCATCCTCGTCGAAACTTCTCCTTTTTTTAATATTTTCTTCTCCAAAATTCATCATCTTTGAAGTTTTTTCTTTTCAAAGTTCTCCTCTTCAAATCTCCTCCTTTCCAAAGATTGTTCAACCATCATAATGAAACAAAGTTACTACATAATTATCCAGTTATTAGAAGTCACCCTAACACGCAAAAAATGAAGATGAAACTCTTCTATGTTATTTAGGACATTTTACTATTCCTTCACGTCATTGTTATCTCGCGTCTCTCTCTCTTATTGTTATCGTTCTAGGTTAGTATATTACTTTTAATTCTTTTATTAGTCTAAACTTTATTATGAATAGATAAAAAAATTGTCATTGATGTTGTATACTGTTATTAATATTGTTCTATTGTATTATGTGGGAACATATAAAAAAATAAATAACACTTCATCGATGATTATATGTGATAGTGTTGGTATTTATGGGTGTGATACATATTAACTTTTTTTAAAGTGTACATATAACATTGGTTCTAAAAAGAACCGATGTAATATGAATCTTTCTACATTTGTTATATTCCAGAACCGATGTAAAAACTGCATATTACATTGGTTCTGTTTACAATTGATGTTATATGTCTAATTTTTACATCGGTGGTCTACTGATGTAAAAACTCTTACTTTCTACATCAGTTCAAAAACTGATACAAAATACTTAAAATAACAGATGTAAAAATCCTATTTTCTAGTAGTGTATGGAGATAAGTCATGGAAAAAATAAGTGATCCAAAACTATCAAATGATGTGGTACTAGTATAATGAATGGAGATGAAGTAGCTTGGTCAACAATAACAAATCGAGGATGGTAACCATGTAACAGATAACATTGATCAAATATATGACCCAATTTATGGTAATGATCACACCTCGGATGATTTTATCAAGGTTATAAGTGTGGTGATGGTCATCACATTGAGATACCAATGTAGAGGAGTCATCAAGAGTGGTAGAAGAAGGTATGTTTGAATATAGTTTGCATGATACACAACAGGGTAAAATAGGCATAATTCAAAGTAGGCACAATTGGAAATCCCAAAATATGATCACAAAGAAATAAATACTTGTTGGGAAGCTTGTAGATTGCCATCAACTTAAAAAAAGTTTATCATTATTTTAGTTCCCGATTAAAAGTGGCAATAGGGGGTAATAGTTCATTAAAGTCAAATACAAGACCATGAATTTTTCTAAATCCATAAAGTAATGAAAGTAGTGGGGGCTATGATACTAAAGAGATTTAGAAAATGTCATAAAGACGTTGAGTATCATTAATATATAATAATTGAGTTTGTTCCCAAATATCTGCACATGTTTTATGAGTGTGGAATATTTACTTCAAAGTTGGATGAGTAGTAGAATATAAAATGTTGCAAACTTGGGCATCAACCTTGGAATAGTAAAGGGATGATGCCAAAATGGATTCCAAACACAACACCATGATCAGATTGGAGAAGAGGAGGGCAAGGCAAGGCTTGTGCTAGTGAAAATGGTTGAAGATGTAGAAATGTGACATCACACATGGTAACACGGGTAGTGGGAGGAGAGAGAGAGAGAGAGAGAGCATAGAGAGAGGACACACCTATGGACATAATTTCGCCAATGTTGGAGTTGCCTTACCATCACAAATTTGATGGTGTGATTTTTGGTCTAAAAGGTGGCGGCAACAATGATGCTAGGAGTGGCAAAAAAAAGGTGAAAAATGCTCGAAAAAAGAATATTGGTGAAGGGGAAAAGGTTAAAAATCAGAATGAGACACAATTTTCAGAAAAAAAAAATTGACACCAAGAGCAATCGGTCCACTGAGAAATAAGGACGTAAATTATACTCTAGATGTCGTATTAAAATAAATGGTAGAGAGGTATTGAATAACATCTCTATGTGTATTATGAATAATAAAAGAATATGTGGATATGGTATTATGAATAATAAAAGAATATGTGGATATGATGATACAAAGAGAAGAAATGGGTTTGGTCCCATACATTTTGCTACTTTTAATAATACTAAAATCTTCCTTTCAAATGTTTTAACAAGGTCAATTAGATGGTTTATGATATGTGCAAACCATTATTCATATATTTGATTAATTCTTCTAGTTAACAACTCATTCTTAAACGAGTATGTGTTATTGCAAGCTCTTTTGACACATGTTGGTCTTTCATGTGAGATAACACAACATTTCATATCTTTTATTTATAATTTTAAACTTTTTTTAATAATAATAAATTGGGATAAATGTACATATTTATTTTAATTTTGTATTTTTAACTTATCTTATCTTTACTTGTTATTTTGACCATAACTTTCTTTATATATATTATTTGTTTATTTTTTAGTTACATTAAATTTTATATTTTTAAGACTTTAATATATATATATATATATATATATATATATATATATTTGGATTTGAAATTCTCTATTATTTTTTATAATTTTAGAAAGTGAGAGAAATTTCTTAAAATTTTGTAAATATAAGCTTAATTCAAAAATCAAACTTCATAGTATTATTTAGTGTTATTTTAAATTGTGTAATAGTTATTTCAAACAATATTTTTGAAATAAAAAATATTAACAACCACTTCTTTTACAATATCAATAAAATTAATTAGAATTAATAAAACCTACGGACAAATTTGTATCATCTTTGTTATGATATATATATATATATATATATATATATATATATATATATATATATATATATATATTTAATGTATTTTTAACGATTTTAGTAACTCGTCTTAAAGTCAAAAGTTTAAAAAGGAAATGCTAGGAAAAGTTATGAACTAATATTGAAGAAAATAATATGCATAGACTAAAACACAAAGTAATTGATTAGATAAGCTAAAATCATATATATTTTATGTGTGTAAAGCGTCCTATACATTCTAGTAAAGAGTAGGGTTTAATTAATCTAAAAATTAAGCTATTCATTTTCTATAAAACAAAAAGTGGCGTAAGCACAAACATTATAATTTTGAGCCGTACGCAATTCGACTGCGCATTTCCAGTTAAATCCAAGCAATACGGCTGCACCGAATGCGGCCTTGTGTATGAACAACCGCCGCTTTCTCTTTCTTCATCGTTTGTAAATTGTAATACTCAAAGCTTGAAACATGACTACTTCAAATTATACAATGGACTATGACTGAACTAACAAATAATTTAGAGGAAATTACACTATGATTTTTTTAAATTATAATAATTTTCTTAAACAAAATATAAATGTAATGTAAAAAGGGTGTAAAGTGTATAATGTATTTAAAACTTAACTAAATACATAAAAAGATAAATATGTATAAATGTAAAATGTAGGGACAAATATTGAAAGAAGATAAAAAGTTTGTGTAGAATTAAAAAAAAAAAAAATTGGAATGTGAGCATAATAAAAAAAAATTAGGTAATGTAGTTTATAATTTTAATTCTAAGTGCTTACTAATCTCATGGATTCAACTCAATGTATATATGCGTTATCTTTGCCTTTGATTATACTGCACAAATATATATATATATATATATATATATATATATATATATATATATATTATATTATGTATTGTGCATTTACTCCATCTATCCGTCTTATCCTAATTACATATATGTTTTGGTACAATTTCAAGTTTTATTAAAGTATAGGTGGAAATTTTGTTAAGCTAGATCCTTTTACTTAAGTCAAGACATTGGCTTATCTTATGCATACTCATCCAAAATCTTATCTTACAAAGATGATTTATCATCAATTTTATTCATCAAAGCAATCACATTCATGAAGGTATTTAACTTTGTTGCCAAAATTCTGTATTCAATGTATATAGTTAACTTGTGTTATATGGAATCAAATATTATGATGCACTTATATTCATTAACTTCTTGTAAAAGATTTAGTCTCTGCCTAATATAAAATTAATTCATACATACTAGAAATAGATGTTTTTTTTTAATTTGTTCATAAATTAATTTTAACTTCTGATAAAGTAATTTTAATATTTTTCTCACTTAAAATGAGTTTACGTGGAAGTTCCTCCAAACAAACCATATAAATATATATATATTACACTTAGGATTCTAACATCTGTAACTACAATTAGTTCATTTGAAGAATCAATAAGAACACACCCAAAACCGCAACTGACATTCTTGTAGAGCACTTTCCACATTAGGGAACATATACCTAGAAAGTAGAAAATGGTTGGTGTTCATGAAACTGCAATCATGGTTATTTCATGTATCTTATGCAGTGTTCTGTTAGGCTTTGCCAACGCAACTGCAACCTCTACATACAATGTGGTGAAGTATGGGGCAAAACCAGATGGTAAAACTGACTCTACTGAACCATTCATAGCAGCTTGGCAATCAGCATGTGCCAGTCCCAGTCCTGCCACTATTTATGTGCCCAAAGGGAGGTACTTGCTGAGAAACACTAATTTCCGTGGTCCATGCAAGGGGAAGGTGACATTCCTCATAGCTGGGACTCTTGTGGCTCCTGAAGATTACCACGCACTGGGAAATTCCGGTTTCTGGATTTTGTTCAATCATGTGGAGAATCTAGTCGTTTCTGGTGGCAAATTGGATGCAAAAGGGGCTGCTTTCTGGAATTGCAGGAGATCTGGAAAGACTTGTCCTGCTGGAGCAAGGGTATCATCATTTCCATGATTTTTGGTGCTATTGCTGTATTTCATCACTACCTGTATAATTAATTACAAGCACTTTTGGAGAGAAAAATAAATATTTTTTTTTAAGTTAAAATTCCATTATAAACAACTTGAAAAGATTATAATATATATATATATATATATATATATATATATATATATATATATATATATATATATATATATATATATATATCAGACAACTTCTATAAATTAGTTTATACTAATTTTCAATTTTGAAATATTTTATTTTATTGTTTTTTTTTTTAAATGGAATCCTATCTTTAAGAAATTCTCGTGTAATATGACATTTAAAGGGGAGGTAGCAACATATCTTATAATATCTTTTTTTTTAATATATTATTATTGCTTAAAATTTATGAAAACCAACGAAATCATGTAAATCTCATTCTTTTTTTTAATAAATATGAGTTTCGAAAAGAATTTAACTAATATAAAAGTATATGATACAAGCAATTGTTTTTATTATATTTACGTTTTATTTGAATAAACACTTTCACAGATACTTATAGACAGAAAACAATACAAGTTTCGTTATGAACAAAAATCAACTTATTCATTTTAGTTTTTTAAGAAATTAAATAATAAAAAAAAGTTTTATAAAGCTTAAATTCATAAGCTAATTTAACTTACTTCAAAAACTTGATTTATCTTCTTTTTTTCAATTTTTTGTTTTATAAATATGAACTTGAACTAGAATGAAATGTTTGATCAGTGAATATTACGTAGGACTGATGAATAGATGGTAATAATTGCAGTCAATGACATTCAACTGGGTGAATAACTTGGTGGTTAGTGGCTTAACTTCAGTGAACAGCCAACTAAGTCACCTTGTGATCAACACCTGCACCAATGTTCTCGTGAAAAATGTAAGGCTTATTGCACCTGACCAAAGCCCTAACACCGATGGCATTCATGTTGAACGCTCAACTGGGGTTACCATTAATGGATGTACCTTACAAACTGGCGATGACTGCATATCCATTGGTGATGCCACCAACAACCTCTTCATGTCCAACATCAAATGTGGCCCTGGCCATGGCGTAAGGTACCATCAACATTATCATATTCATCTGTAGTTCTTCAAAGCAAGCTTTTTGTTTATAGATATGGATAAATGAACATATAAAAATTCCCAACAAAAAAAAACACTAATAATAATGATCTTCTTATTAGATAGTATAACTCTATGCGTAATTGTAGAACTGCAAATGAAAAACTGAAAAAATTGGAGAACAATGTAAGTGAATATATTTTTGAAGCAGCATTGGAAGTTTGGGGCAAAATGTGGACGAAAAAGGAGTAGAAAATGTGACTCTAACGAATGCCATCTTCTCTGGATCGGACAATGGGGTGAGGATAAAGACATGGGCCAGACCGAGCAACGGGTTCGTTAGGAATGTTGTCTTCCAAAACATCGTAATGGACAAAGTTCAGAATCCCATCATCATAGATCAGAATTACTGCCCCAATAATCAAGGTTGTCCTGCCCAGGTAATCATAAATGATTAATCCAACCCAACATGATTATATGTTTTCGATCTTTCAATAGGAAATTAAATTTGTAATTAATTAATTAAAATTCAAAAGTTACCAGCATCCATGTAACAATATTTTTGTTGGGATAACAAATATGTTGTTATGTTTTACAGACTTCAGGAATTAAGATCCGCCAAATTACATATTTGAACATAAATGGAAGTTCAGCAACGCCAGAAGCAGTAACTTTTGATTGCAGTCCAAGTAATCCATGTGAAGGGATCAAATTGCAGGATATAAACCTGACCTACAACAACAAAGCTGCAATTTCATCGTGTAAAAACATAGATGGGACAAGCAGTGGAACACTGGTCCTAGAAAGTTGTCTATGATATTGTAATAGATTGGAACAAATCTCCATATATCCATGCTTCAAGATGAAGCAGAAGCTGCATGGGTGCGTGCACCACATCTTATACTGCTATTGTTTATTTATGGTTTATTAGGTGTAAAGAATAATTTGTTGAACCTGCTTAATTTGTTTTTCAAATTTTAAGAGGCTACTCCATGTTTTGTATATATATATATATAACAATATTTCAATATGTTCTATTTTTCTATATTCTTTTTATTATTTAAAAAGGAAAACAATAAAGCAATAAAGCGAAACTAAAATACTTCATTCTGAAATCAAATTAAGGAGAATAATGTGAAGGTCCCTTTTGTTTTATTCGTTCTGCGTCTTCTTTCCAATGGGGTTGGTATGTTTGCTTCGCATTTATCCAATTCATTTATGTTTTACATGAGTATGAGACTAATGGTTTAGTATTGAATATTATGAATGTGGTGTGACACAGAAGATGAAGGAGCAGAAAGTGTGTCAAGTAAAATTGTATGACACAAATTGTACGAAGAAGCACATTTATTATTTAATCTATTTTTATTTCTTTTCCTAATTCCCTTTGGAGTATGATTATTCTCAATTCCATGGAGGTCAACATGAATTTATTATAATAAATAATAAATAATTTTGTGTCGTGGGATGCCTAGAAGTTATCGACCAATATAGTTTACTTGAGATATAAAAATCAATAAACTGAGCATTGCTTACGTATAATCAAGATATTATTTTAAAAGAAATAATTAAGGTTATTTTGTACAAGACTTACAGGGAAGACCTATTATAGAGTATAAATAGTTTAGAATATTCATTTTTCATTGATTACATAGTTATTGAATTATTAATATTTTGTTTCACTTAAACGCCATATTCTAAATCCTAAAAACTAAATACTCACTTTGTATATTGAGGTCGAATGAAGACATCATTTTCCAAAAGAAAGAAGCCTTCACAACAATACAAGGATTATTCCATCTTATAATAAGAACATTTCAAATTTATGGTCAAATTGAGCCAAACTTTCTAGGACTACGTGGTATCTTTTAAGAATAGGGCCAATAAGGAGAATGTGTGATTAGAGAGAACCACAGTTGTTGTAACCGTGAGTCAACCCGATTGATCACTTTTGGAGGCCGGTTATATTTGATTTTTTTATTTATTAATAATGGGTTAAATTTTTAAAAATAATAATAATTTACTAATTATAATTTATGTTAGATTTGTCTCTCTATCTTTATTTCATGTCGTCACTATAAGTTAAACTGTCACTTAAGTTTATTATTAATTGTTCGTTGTACCACTGTGTTCATTATTACACATGGACCACTTGTCATCCTTTTGTCGCACCACTACATCACCATGTCCATTGTGTTTGTCACACCATGCATTTCAATATTGCATTACAACATTGGTTGCATTTCAATTATACGTTTCAGTCATAGTGTTTGTCATGCTAGCACCACAATGTTTTAGTCTTGCATTTCAATTGCACCATGTTTGTCACGCTATCGCATTCACTGCACCACTGCATTTGTCGCGCCACCACACCACTGTGTTTCAATTTTACCATAGTGTTTGCTATGTTTCAATTGCATCACTGCTTTACGTTCCAGTATCGTGATTCAATTGTACTTATTATAATAAATAAATAAAGATGGGTTAGTAAGTCAACTCACCAAACCCATCAAACCGTAATGGGTTAAGTCGGGTTGTAAAATTTTTGGCTTACCATAAAGTGAGTTAAGTTAAGTTCGTCTATTTTCAACTCAGCTCGTAGTGAGTCAACCCGTGTAAATTGGGTTGTCTCACTTTGACACCCCAAAGCAAAACTGAGAAAATAACTTGAGAATTTTAAGAAAGTGTTAAGGAGTTGAATATGTTTATGGTGAAGAATGCCCAAATATGGCAAAAATTAGAAAAATAAAATAAAAATCTATGAACACCCATGTTGCAAAGCCCACAACCATCCACGCTAAAGGTAAGGGCTCCAAGCCAATTCCAACCTATCACTCATCAATACACACCTAGAAAGCAAGAGGTAGAAAGCAATCAAAGGCTTGAGACATAGATAATTTTTAGATAATACACCTTAGGAGGAAGGCAATGCCTACATCCTTTTCTGAATGGATTAATGGAAATGTTGTTATCGACAAGTTGGAAGAGAATAACCATGAACAAATATGATGATACCATGAAGCCTAATAAATACGATGATGTTTATGTCACCCAATTTGACTTATACATTATCAATGATGCAATTTTGTTCAGAATAGATCTTGAGATTGTTTCATAAAAAAAATTGTCCATACATAAAGAGACATGACTTGTGTCCCAAAAGAAGAGAAAGAAGGGTCAGGAACATAACAAAGCTATGAAGCACAATGTAAAAAAAAATTTAGATGTTGTTATGCCATGTGATTGGAAAACATAGTCCTATTTAAGAAGAACAATGATGAATGGTGGATGTCCATGGACTACACGAATCTCAACAATGTCTATTAGAAACATATCTATCCTTATCAAGTATTGACTAATGAGTTGATAGAGCAGCTAAATATAAAATAAATTTTTTGGATACCTACTCTAAATATAATCATATATGAATGCATTAGAGGGACACCCAAAAGACTGAATTTATAATAGAAACACCAATTATTGCTACAACGTGATGCCCTTTCGAACATGCAAGAGTTACATATTAGTGTTTAATGGACAACAAATTAGTTGCAACATAAAAGTGTACGTGAATGATATGGTGGTCAAGTTTAACACATGTCATATGCACATTCCAAACTCACCACGACATTTCTAGAGCTTAAAAGATACAATATTAGGTTGATATTAGGAAAATGTGAGCTTGAAGAAGGTGAAAAATTCCTATGATTTATGCTATCGCATCAAGATATCCAGGCCAATCTTGATAATTGTCAAACCCTCATGAAAATGCATAGTCCAAAGAATCTTAAAGAAACACGACAACTAGTGGGAATACTTACATCCCTCTCTCGATTTCTACCAAGTTTCTAGGAGAACCAACCTATCATCAAATACTTAAAGAAGTATATCTTGGATAAAATTAAATAGAAAATAATATATTTAAATGTTAGTTGGAATATTTTGATTTTACATATATCTTGGGCAGCTGATATTACGATTCTATATATTTATTATTTTTATTTTAAGGAGTTAATGTTAGGATTTCAAAAAACTCATTATGAACCTGTAAATACTCAATTGTATCATTTAGTTTTACACACCACATAAAACAATAATATTTAGCTTCCTCGATCTCTTTGTTATTAAATTGGTATCAAAATTTGGGTTTGAGTGTTTGAGCATGAGAGAACTTAAAGAGAGCGATGACTAGTCTAACAAATAGTGTGACCTTGCCCGATTGACTAAATAAGTCAACTTTGATAGATGAAGTCTCTAGATGAAGGCCATTTTGAGATCTCAAAGGTTTTGAGAAGTCAAGAAGTACCAAAGGTTTTTTAGTAGTCGCAATCAAAGCGTTGAGAGAGAAGCGTGAGAAGGATAAGGAAACCCTATATGTTGTACCTAGTTGTAGATACTTTCGACTTTAAGAATATAGCAAATGCTAAAACTTCAAAAAAAAAACGTAGAATGTGTTCTAGATAGTACATAAGGGCGATGATCGAATTAAACAAGTTCAACTACAGATACTATATGCTCAGTTGGAAAGCATGAGAATGAATGAGTCAAAAGGAGTTATTTGAGTACATTATGCGTGCTTAAACTGTGGTGAATCAACTAAATCGCGATCGAGAGGCATTTTTCAAAGCTTGTTTTGTATACTAAAAGATCTAGAGATCGATGACTTTGAGAATAAAGTGAAGTGTGCGCAATAGAAGAATCAAAGAACTTGTTTAAGCTCACGGTACGAGAGATGAATGGTTCTCTTGGAGCCAAAGAGTACCGAAAGAAGAAAAAGAAGGAGGAGACAAAAATTCAAGTACTCTAGAGTGAGAAAACTCTCTATTATCATAACACTCGAGGTGGACAAAGTGGTAAAGGTCGTGAGGGGAAAGAATGAGATCAACAAAACTGGCGTGGTAGAGGACATGATTGAAAAGGAAGTCGATTGACGAGTCACTCAAATGTTGAGTGCTTCAAGTGCGACAAATATGACCACTATAGAAAGGATTGTTATTCGAACAAATGTTGTAATTGTTGTAAGGTGAGATATTTTGCAAAAGAATGTCAATAATTGAGAGAGACCTATGTCGCAAAGGAAAGAAAAGTTGGAGAAGCAATACTATTATTGATGGTTGATCATAACTCGAGAAATTACCAGTATATTATAACTTGAGAAATGGTAGCAATGAAGTTTGACAAGATACCAATCACAACTCAGTATGATACATGGATACAGGTACAAGTAACCACATGTGTGGGGACGAGCACCTATTTAGCGAATTGAAGGAAGTTGAGGGTGATCATGTATCTTTTAGAGATGCTTCTAAGATCACGGTAAAAGGCCAAGGTACTATTTGTTTCTTACAGAATGATAGCCTAATCAAGTCAATCTGAGATGTATTGTTTGTTCCAGATCTCAATGGTAACCTATTGATGGAGAGAGGATACTTGATTTTCATGAAATATTGAGTACTACAATTGAAGGATGAGCTTGAGAGGTTGATTTTTCGAGTTGAGATGGGGAAGAGCAGAGCATACAAGTTGTAGCTGAGAAGCATTCATAAAAGGTGTCTAAAACTAAATGTAAATGACATGTTATTGAAGAGAGATCATTGATCTAGTAACTTACATCTTTGTGGTCTAACCAATTTTATTCATGATGGTAATCATGATGTTGATCGTGATGTCTGAGTTGATGAAGCCGAGCGTGAGGATGTTAGAGGAAGTCGAGCTACTACAAGAAACAACAAAGTCAATAGATTGTGGATCTCTCACTCTTTCCCGTCCGAAGTCTAACTTGGCCAAGCTAAGTTCGAGTAGTGGATTCCAAAGCGA